ATTATAAACCACCACCGAAACCACAACCTGTCGATAATTATAAACCACCACCAAACCCACAAGCTGTTGATTACTATAGACCAACACCAATAGTACAACCTGTTAAACCACAAATATCTTATGAACTAGATTATGATCCACCAAAACCACGGTTATGCTCACGTTCGCGCTCACGTTCGCGTTCGCGTTCCCGTCCTCGTAGTGCATCAACATTACCACGTGAACCATGGCGTTCAACAAATCAAAATGATTATCCATGGCGTGATGCTCATCTACCTGCCTATCGTGAAGCAACATTAGCTCGTGCACAATCCGCTGTTAATAGTTCACGTACATGGAAAGAAACAACACATGAAAGCTGTGATTCAAATACACAAAATGCACGATCATGTCATACTTCAACAGTATATGCACCATCATGTCATACTTCAACAGTATATGCACCATCATGTCATACTTCAACAGTATATGCACCACCATGTCATACTTCAGCAGTATATGATTATACAAATTTATGCACACCTTGCTACACGCCTTGCCCGACGCCTTGCTACACGTCTTGCGGCAATCATTCATTCTATTCCGATGTTCCATCAACAAAAACACATTCATTAACAAAAGTTGATTCAACACAATATCATAATCTATATGAATGTAAGGATTCCTGTTTACATGTTATTCCAAAACAAGGTACTTCATGTGATCCACCTTATTTGAAAATCCATAATGCACCTGTAACTTATCTTCATTGAATATCTATTATCTGACTCTATTATAACATTCTTGATTTGCCTTTTTTCCGCATGATAAGAGATTTAAGATAATAAAGTTTTCCTTTTTTTTTTCTTATATATATATTTATCATTCAGAAGAACTACATATGAATCTATATGTTTATACAAAGTAAACTGTATATAAAATTAAATAGATATTAACGGATAAAATGCAAGGCCTCATATCTATCATGTGAATCTATACAGACGTTCTATCTCGAAAACATTTATGTATAGCTTATTTTATCATTTTCTTAGATCTAACTATATTTCTATCTCTTTTAAAAAATTATAGAAGAAAAAAACAAATTCTTACCTAGAAATAAAAACAAAATAAATCGTCAATATTACAATTAATAATAATCATTGTCAATCTGAAATAAAATGAAAAGCATTGTCAACAAATAATATTTTTTATCTATAATTTGTTCTTAAATTGATGCGTACATAAGCTGAAAAATGAAATATAACTTCATATTTCAAAAGAAAAAAAGAAAAAGACATAAAATTCGTCATTAACTTCTCAGCCAACAATAAGCGACTAAATGTATACACACATACAAATAAATAAATGTATATGGAGTAAACAGATCCACAAAAAAAATGAACTGTATTCGTAATATATATATATAAAAAAAAATTATTGCAGAAAAACAGACACAAAAATCATTAATCATAAGAGATCTTTTAAGATCTGACACAAGACAAATAAGCGAGTGTATATGACGGGATAAAAAGATGAGGTTGATTTTGTCCATTAAGGAATGTAATGGATTGAAAAGAAAGAAAAAAAACACATTGAGCAAATAGAAATCTAGTGCTAAGAAATAATAAGAAGTGATTTACGTGGTGAATGTGTAAATTCAACACTAGCTGAACGACGCAATGAGATAAGTGGACCCGATGATTGTTGTTGGGAGGATATGTGATGGGAATTTGGCATTAATTGAGCGGAATTTGATTGATTTGGTAATGGTTGTTGTAAACGATTGTTAGCTATTGATGAAGCTTCAAGTTTAATCGCTTTTTCTTTAGTTAATAATTCATCAGGAAATGATATTTTATTATCTTTAGCTAATTGTCGTAGATCAAAATAATATTTGGCATATATAGATGATCCAACATTAACATTAAATTGAAGTAATTGAATATACTCACGTTCTAATTCGTTCCTTTAAATATGGAAAAAAAAAACAAAATGATAAACTTTTTACTTTCGAAAATATTTACATTTCATGAACAGTAATATCTTTAAGTATTTGACAAAAATCAACATTCCATACTGCCTGATCATCCCAGACTTTTGATGCTAACATAATTGCACCTAGATAAAAATAATCTCTTGTTTTCATAAAAAATAATATTTTTCAACTGACCAAGTACAAGTCGTTTCCAATTCGATGGACATAAATCAAGTTCACCATAACTTAAAACACGTTCGAGATAGACCTAGAAGAAAAACGCAATCAATTTTACCGTGCAAAGTTAACATATGAAACAGAATAATTTCAGAGATCAGTTGCCACTTGAGAAGATACTAATTATTATCTTTTGCGCGATAACTCTTTTGTCTGTCACACTCAACAGAAAAAAAAGTAAAGTGTTAACGGAGCTCAAATATAAATTTGTGTACCCTTTCGAGCTATGTATCTCCCTGCGTTATTACCTTACTATTACAAATTTACTTTGCACCTATGGCCATGTCTCTCGGATCTGTAGGAAAATGAAAATTATCTTAAATATTATTTCGATAATCGGACTGATCATTTTCTGATCTATCTTAAATTATGATATAAATAATTACCAATGTTACAATGGCACATTCAGCAGTTAATTGTGCAGCAGTAAAAAGTATCCTCATAAATCGATAGATTGCTTTTTGTTCAGGTATTTGTTGCTCATAATCATCCGGTACTCGATCTTTCTATAATACAAAATTAAAAAATTAATTTTTTTTCAATATAAAATACAAAATAAACACATACGGTTAATGGATGTAATTTTTCATCGAATATATTCATTGTTTTATTTGATTTTCTATGAAGAATATGTGAATGTATAGCAATACTAACACATTTAATCATAGCTTTCCAATTTGGTTGTGAAACAGTTGAATCATCTACATATATTGTTGAACATGAATTTGAATGTTTTTGCGACATATATGATACATCACGTTGATAACGTGATCGATTTGGTGAATTTGATGGTCGATATGATTTATCTTTAATTGATGAAAGAATATTTTCATTTGGAATTGTTAGTATTGGTAATGGTTGTATTGCATCTTTTGTTTGCTCTAGAAATATACAAAAATATTAACAATAATACATGTTTAATAAACGTACGAAGCATAGATGCAAAATATGTGGATGTTGTTGGGTTATCGGACGGTGCAAGTTCAACATCTGATTCTAAAAACCCAAAAATAGAAATAGAATAAAAATAGAAATGAATTTATACGATTTCCATATATTTCAGAAACATGAATTTTATTATCATAGGATCCTGGAGAATTATCTGCGCCATTGTATGGATAATTTGTGTTGCTACCACCACGTGTTAACCCATAATCACCGCTACTAAAAAATACAAAAATTTTCGATTAAAGAAAAAACATCTAAATATTTAATAGATTTACATGTATTTTTTCGGTGTTTTTTGGCAACAATGACAGCAACAACTGGCGATGGCACCCATTGATAAGCATTTTATATGATATAAAAATGCCCCGAGGCCATATTTGGATTTTTGTTATAGAAGAAATAAGAGTAAATATGTCCACTAGATGTTAATATGCCTATGACTCAGATAGTGATGGTGGATTGTTAAAGTAGACTAAATCCTCTCAAGATTTTCTAAAAAAAGTTTTGTTTTTTCTAAAAATTTTCTTTAAATAAAATAATTAAGAAGAAAATATTTATTATTATCATTAAAATTTTAAATTCGAATAATTATAGATGTCGTTCAAAAATATATTCGTTTTAAAAATAATTATTATTTTTCATTAAAAATAATTTATTAAATGATTTTTTTCGAAAAATTTATTTTCTATAACATATGATTGATAAATTATTTGTCCAAAGCTAATCAATATGACCTTGAAACCATAATAAAAAGAAATATGTGCACGTTTTGATTTGCATAACGGAATTTGATCAGATCTGGTTTTTTGTTTCTTTTCTTTTTAAATAGCTTCGCAGCTTTTTTCTTCTCAATACTTGTTATTATTTAAGTTCCATTTTGTTCTTAACAATACGATTATTTCTAGAGATTAAAAATCAATCTAAAAGTCAAAAACATGCAATTAACACTTATTGTTCTTCTTGTATTGAGTAAGAATATTCATATATAGAAGATGTTGATTTCATTCTCGTTCATTTAGTACCATCAATAACAACTTTAAAATGTTACGTATGCAATTCGAATGAAAAATCTGCCTGTGCATCGGACGGCAAATTAAATGAAAAACTTACACAAACGTGTCCTTCTAATATGGAAGACCCTTATTGTCGTAAAATGGTTCAAACAGGTAATATTATAATAGTAGATTATTTTTCTAGATTTTTTTTTTTATTTTAGTTAATGGGGACACAAGCATTGTACGTTCATGTGGTTCAAAAATAGGATCAAAAGAATGTTATAAAACACCTGGAGTTAATACTGTAAGAAAAAAATTTTTTTTTTTAATTATTTAATTATTTTGTTATAAATTAGGCAAATGTTTGTTCATGTAAAACGGATCTTTGTAATAATGCACCAAGTTTCAATCGACAACAACAAATGATGACAATTCTTTCATCATTTATTGTTGTAGCAACAGCAATGATTTTTCTTCGTTGAGAATGAATCGATAGATTATTTTTTCATTTTCGTATTAATCCTAAATCTATTGTGCTTCCCTCTTATCTTAGTATTGGTACAAAAAAAACTAATAATCAAAAATTGTATTCGTGTGTTTTAGTCAATTGTCAATGATTTATTTTTCTTTTTTTGTCTTCTCGCCTTTTAGCAATCTGACATTTATGTCTATCTCGTAGTCAATATGTGTAATGATGCTTTCTGTTCTTGTGCTTGTATTATCCTTTATCCTTTATAGTATAGAAGTGATTAAAAAAAAAATAACGCAAACTATTGATAAATATATAGTTTATTGTTTTATAGAACAGAATGAGAAAAAAAAGAAACTTTTGTTTTTTTTCTCCACTAACGCTTGAATGAGGCTGCTGCTCAAGTAATAAAACTAATTTTGAAAAATTTATAAATGATAAGAATGAAGCATTTTTCGTATTGAAAATAATTTATATTTGCAGAAAAAAAACAAGTCATGTAGATATGCACTCAAGACTTCGACAATATAGAATGTTGAATGATTACAAGAAAAGAATTTATGGCAATAGTCTTTGACAAGATTGGCATTTAGATTGTACGCTAAATTATAGGTCTGATGTAGAGACCTGCATCGGAGTCAACTAAATTTTTTGCCTATAATTAATTTTTTTTTGAGGTGAAGGTTTTATTCTCTACAAACTGGCGTATTTTGAGGGTCCAATCGAAGTTTTATCTAAGCGTACGGTCACAAAAGAAAATCTGACTCTGACTTTCTTTTATGATCGAGAACCTTAATAAAACATCGACTGAACTCTCAAAATATATTAGTTTGCCGAGAGAAAAACCTTCACCTAAAAAAAAAAATTAATATAAAAATGAATTATAGGCAAGAAATTTATTGGATTCCGATGCAGGTCTCTAGTCTGATGTTCCTTTATATGAATACAAAAATCTCATGGGGATTTAAGTACTGCGTTTTTATTAATCAAATTCTTTAATGATTACAAGGTATTTTTAAGTTATTTCCTAGCTCGTAAAATAATTGAAGATAATACTTTTATATAATTCAGAATTATTTTTTTATGAATAAATAGCTTGATTATTACCCTTTTATCGAGAAAAAAAGAATCAACTCAAACGATAAGAATACACTGGAAGGGTTTGAATTTTTTTCTTATCGCTCTGCATATGATTGTATGTGTTTGAAAATGTGAAAAAATCATGGTACATTCAAATGTCTTGTGAACTAAATCAATATGTTAATGAAAAATTCAATAAAAAATTTCGCTTAATAAAGTTCTTATCAAAGTAGAATCAAGATGTACGAGATATTATCATAAAAAATTAGAACAATTAAACATAGAGTACTGTTTGAATATGCGATCGAAATTTAGAATTTTTAAATAGAGCAGGGGCGGATCCAGGATTTCCATGAGGGGGTGGCGGTTTATAAAAAAAAAGTGGAAAGTAGTATTATTTTTTAGGAGAGAAACCTATAGTGTTCTACCTATTTTCAGTATTTGTCGAAGTATCTATTTTCGAGGGGGTGGCGGTCGCCGGTTCGCCCCTAAAATAAAGGCAACGCCAAGATTTTTACTTCGAAGAGCTGAGCCCCGTCTTGGCGCTGCTACTAATTTTAATTGTCGCGAAATCGCAAGCCATTCGCATTATTTTTATGTTCAATGAAAATTATGTCATAATAATATCGTGGCTTATTTCTATTATGAAATCAATTCTATTCTATTTTTATCATATTAGTAAAAATCAAACCACTTATTTCGATAATAAACAAATAATATCAACAGTAAATATCATGCTAATTTTTTTCATAATAAAGACAAATGAAAAAACACATGTAACTGCTATACACACACTCACATATAAAAAAGAACCTGAGTGAAAAAAAACAAACAAACAAACAAAGACAAATAGGAATGCATTCTCATGATCATATTTCATAGTTATTAAATAGATATATATGTATATGAAAGACTACTATAAAGTATTTGATTTTCTTAAGATTCACTTTTAATTGTTGAATATGGATGACAATAATAACGTCGATGTTGTTGACGTATTTTTCCATTTTGATTAACTGTTGTTACAGGTGTTGTATTATACATATGTGTACCTGTATGAACTTTTAAGTTGCCTTTTGTTGTAAATGCTCGACCACAAACCTACGAAAAAATAAATAAATAAATTGAAAAACTTTTCATAAATAAAATAATTTTTTATCATACATCACATTTGTACGGTTTTTCTCCTGTATGTGTTCGATTATGAATTTGTAAAGCTGAAGCTGATGAAAAATTTTTCGAACAAATATTACACATATGTTGAGATGTTGATATTGAACGTCGTGTTTGATTTATATCTTCGGAAACTATTTTATTATCTTTTTGTTCATCTAATATGGATAAATTCAAAGATTTCTTTTGATTTAATGATGCAGCTGCTGCTAAAAATGGAAAAAATTGCGGATTCAATAATGAAAATTGTGAAACATTAAATAATTGATGATGATTTTCTTCTTCATCTTTTTCATCATTCTAAAATACACTTAATTCAATGAAAATTTTTTAACTAAAATTATTATTTTATTTTTAACCTGTGATTCATCACCAGATGTTTCTTCTGTTATAGAATTATTACCACTGAAACGATGAATATTCATATGTGTTTTAAGATTTCCTTTCGTTGAAAATGATCTTGAACATATTCGACATTGAAATGGACGTTCACCTGTATGTGTACGATAGTGCATTTTAAGTGCACTATGACATGATAATATACGTTTACAAACAACACATTCATTTGAATCACTTTTATTTGTTGTTCGTTCAAGTTTATCAATCATATCTTTAAGCTAAAATTTCAAATAGATTTATTTTATTTATATCATAAATAGAAATCAACTAACTTTAGACATATTAGGATTTTCTGGTTCACCTTCATGTGATTCCATTTGAAATTCAATTAATGATGTTGAATGTTCTTCATCAGATTTTGATGATAAATCTAGTGGTGAACTATTTTCTATTTCATTTTCTTCTTCTTGCTCAGATGGACATGGTGATATGACTTTAATAGAAACAAAAATTCGAATGAGAAACTTCATCATTATCAAATATGATGGGTTGGGTTTAGATAGAAGTTTCAGTAAAGCGAAAGGATGTTACATGATGATGAGTGCCCGCCCGAAGGATCTAAGATTAGGGGAGAGGGGTAGAACGCGGTTTGGAAGAGCGTAAAAATTTTTGGGGGGTGTAAAAGGTTATTTAGAGCAAAATTTGCTTAAAAAAACACAAAATTTGTCCCAAATCGGCTCCGATCATTTAAAAAAACAAAAATTTTCAACTATTGGAGGGTGTACACTCCCTCCACCGCTCGCGCGGATGCTGATGACGATGTAGTTCAGTACCTATATTATTTAGAATTACTATCAATATGGTTATACTATTTTATAGATAATGAAAAGTGGTAAAATATTCAGTTTGGATTTTGTTCTTTTAAAAAGATCTAGATGGTTTTTATATGTTAGCCTTATACATTATATTTCTTTTAATATTTAATTGTTACAAATATTTACTTTCTTGTTTTTGTTGATAGGATTTCAATTGTTCTTGAAATTGTTTGATCATAAATTTTTGTAAGCGTTGTTGTTCTTGAATTGTTGCTAATTGTAATTGAAGTTGATTTAATTCAGAAATAAGATTTTTCGACATTCTAAAATGAAGATCAATATGTAATTATTATTATTATTATTATTTATTAGATAAAAGTAAAATAGAACAATTGATCGATATATGCAAAAGAATGAAAAGATTTGTTTTTTGAATGTTAATAACTTTGTAATTTGTTGAAGATTGCGAAATCGTTTTATAGAAATTGATATAAAAGGAAGAGCAGAAAGAAATATTTTGAGGAGTAGGTGATGTATCGTTTTTGATGATTTTTTTTAAAAATTTATAAACGTATGCGAAATCATGTTTAAAAAGAAAAATGTATTTTGATAGACCAAATATTCAATTTAATCATAATGTTATCATTATTTCATTTCTTCTATATTCAATCAAACACATACATGCTGATCAGAGTAAATGTTTGCACCGCACTTTTATAACATTATATATATATATACCCAAATCTATATTCTTCCTAATGCATAAATTATATTCAATAAAAACATTATTGACTCTTTCTCTTTTTTCTCTATCTCTATACACATATTATTTTGATTGCGCATGATAGTCTCTAGAATAAGCATATACAAATGGATGAATGCAAAGAAACAATAATATATCAATTCTCTGTCTTAAACAACGTACACAAGTTTGTTTTCGATTATAAAATATCGATACATAAATGTACTTTTCTTCAAGAGTAATAAGAAGAAAGAAAGAAAAGAGAGAGAGAAAAGAAGATTAATCAACATATAAAATAGATAATAACAATCTATATAGTTCTTATACTCAGATCTATTTGATTATAACAAGTAACAAAAAAAAAGAAAGAAAGTCATTTATGAGGTATATGCTTCTATTCCAATTGAACGAAATATATGAAAGTAAATATGAGCATACTCTTCATACATACAGACATTTATGATTATAGTATTACAATGAGATCGACAATAATGTCGATAGAACGAATAAGAGAGCAAAAAAAAAAGAAAAGATATATAATTCTTCATCATAATAATACGAGAATGAATGATATAGACAAGAGAATAAACTCATAAAAACATATAAATCAATCCAAAGATAATATATAATCGGTATTTATTAAATAATTTTTCTTTTTTATTCGATAAATAAAGATATGAAATTAAATCAATAGAAATTTGTCTTACCTTTAATAAGTATGAAACAAAAAAAAATATTTTCTATCAAACTATGACAATACAATATACATATATATATTAATACAATCAACAAGCATATAGTTATTGTTCTTTTACAACAAAACGAATGCACACGCGAACTATAATCCAACAGTATATGCTCTATGCACAAACGCTAATAATGTTGATATAAGGCTTTATGAATTGATATATACATACACACGTAAAAACGAAATTGTATCTATATTTTGTTATGATATCTACTATTAATATCTATATAAATGTCATCACAAACTTACCTTATTCATGAAATAAAATCTATTGAACAAAAAAAAAGAAAAAAATTTTTTCCTTTAATCTTTACGAACATACAAATGTTAAGTAGTTACGTTTAATGTATATAAAAAAAAAATAGTGGGAGGTTCATCATCATCAAATACAAAAATGAGGGATAAGCGATATAAAATGCTCAGTAGCTTTATCGAAAAGATTAACATATTTGTGCACATTGTTTGAAAAAGAGAAGAATAAAAAAAATTTTCTTGCTTGTGCTTGTTATAAATACGTGCATTCATTTTATATGTTAAGAAGGCTTTGAAATGATCATCATTTATACGAAATTTATAATTATATTCTTTGAACATATTTACTAATGATAATTATTTCTTTCAATTGTTGTTTTTCTTTTTTTTTTATACAAAAGATTATTCATTTGTATAGATATTGAAATTTAATTGATAAGAAATATTGATACTTGTTTTTTTAAGTTAAGTCTATATTGAACAAAAAAAATTATTACAATCTTTTTAAGGCCTTGAATAGAGGTGTGCGCGCGTATGTGTAATACTTATATAATAATTATTGTAGCAACGACATCCAGCAAGTTTTTTTTACTTTTAAACACATTCACTCGATTAGAAATTTTGAGAGAAATAAAAAACTAACATAAATAGAAAGAAAAAAAAAAAGAAGAAGAAGTGAGGTGTTCTTTTATGAAAAAAATTTTATTTTCTTATTTTTTTTCTTTACATTACAATTCATACGGCATAAGAACAAAAAAATGACGGCATCTAAATCTGATATTCAACGATTGATTGAATGTTCTATTTGTTGCGATTATCTAACTGATGTTCGCGAAACTCCTTGTTGTCATCAATTATTTTGTTATACATGCATACAATCATGGCTTCAAAAATCAATGAAATTCTGTCCAAGATGTCGATCAACATCATTAACCGAACAAAGTTTATTAAAAAATATTGTCGTACAACGTTTTGTTGATAATCTTTTATTTGAATGTCCACATGCATTACAAGGTTGTACCGCAAAAGTACCAAAATCTGATTTAGTAAAACATAAACGATCATGTGAATATACACCAGAAAAACTTGCTATAAAACAGCGAGAAAAATTAGAAGATTCACGAGCTATATTATTAAATTGTAAAGAAGGAAAAATGCATGTTACTGATAATATTTTACATGATTTAGCAAAATTATTTTATAATGGACAAGATTATGATAGTGCAAAAGATTGTTTACAATTAATGAAAAATAAAAATAGTTCACAAGAAATTATTATTCTTCAAGCACAAATTGAACGAGATACAAATCATTATGATAAAGCTTTAGCATTATATTCAAAAGCATATACATTAGTTAATTCTATTTCACAACGTATTGAATTACTATCAGCACGTGGACATTTATTATTTAAAAAAGCTGCATATGAAGAAGCAAAAAATCTTTTTACACAAGCTCTTGATCTATTAAAACCAAATGATGAATCACAAATAAAAGCTGAAATTCTTAATTCTCTAGGATTAATTCATAAAAAATGTTCTGAGGTAAATATATATATATATTCATACCTATAGATAATTTAAAAGTAATTATTGTCTTTTTTCTCTATCTTAAAGTATGATGAAGCAATTTCAGCTTATAATAAAGCACTTGAAATTGTTGATACAAATTCAAATCTATGGTCGGATATTATTTCAAATCTTGCTGGTAAATCGTATTTATATATTTCCCGGAAATTAATTTTTTAATTTAGATATTAATCGTAAAAAGGGAAATTATGATGAAGCAAGAGAACTTTATTTAAAATCTCTCAAACAAACTGAATCAATCTATGGACAAAATCATCCAAGTATAGCTGATATTATGAATAATCTTGCTATGTTACTTAAAAAAGAAGGAAAATATACCGAAGCATTAGATTATCTTAAACAAGCATTAAAAATTTCAAAACATTTCTATGGACAACAACATCCAACTGTTGGAATATATTTAACAAATGTTGGAGATATTTATCGAAAAGTTTGAAATTAAATTCTAATTTTTCAAAATAAATTTTCATTTTTTTAGCAAGGTCAATTTAAAACAGCTGAAGCAACTTATAAAGAAGCTTTGACTGCTTTAGAAGATTCCTATGGACCAGGTCATATTGAAGTAGCTGAAGTACTTAATTCAATGGGTTTAGTTTTAAAAAAACGAGCTGAATACGATGGTGCAGAAAAATTATATAAACGTGCTATTAAAATAGTACATGATACATTTGGTCATGATGTTGAACATTACAAATTAGGTATTTATTATAATAATTTAGCTGATCTCGATCGAAAACGTAATAGATATGATAATGCATTAAAACTTTATCAACGTGCACTTACTGCTATTGAACAAACACTTGGCCCGCAACATTCCGAAGCTGCAGAAATTTTGCATAATATTGGACAAGTTTATCATCAACTTGGTAAGATTTTTGAATAAGAGATTTGTTTTTTAACTCTTTTATATTAGGTAATTATAAACAAGCAATTGAATATATCAATCGAGCATTAATGATTATAAAAAAAGAATTTAGTGATAAACATTATAAATATGGTATGTTTCTTAATTCTCTTGGTCTTGTATATGCAATGATGAATGATTATCGAATGGCATATATACATTTAAAACAATCATTACAAATTCTTATAAATAGTTTAGGTCCAGATCATATTGAAGTATGTGATGTTTATTCAAATTTAGGTGAAATTTGTGTGAAATTTGTAACGGAAATGTGCCAAGAAAAACAACCAAATCAAAATGAAAAACAATCAAAATTAGATGAAGGAAAAAAACATATTTTAGAAGCACAACGAATTGTGCAAGCAACATTTGGTAGTGAACATACAAAAGCCATTCAATTTATGTCACTTTTATTTATTATTGAAAATTTTCATTCTTTGTGCAAAGTTTAAAATAATAATAATAAATCTAGTTATCTTGAATACCTGACGATGACTTGAATTGTATATCATAAATTGATAGTCAAAAGTGTTTATATAATTAAAGATATAAGTTTTATTTTTTAACGAAGCGAAAGAAGAAAAAAAATCGATGATTAGTTGTATAAAAAATACAATCTTGTAATGTTTTCTTATTTTAAAGTTTATTTTTCATCATTAAAATAATTGAAGTTATACCAGCGAAGATAAATAAAGATGGTGATAATCTTGCATTACCATTTCGACATACGGCTTGTGTTATTCCCGCACCATTTGGTTGTGGACAATCTTTATAATACTGTGCAGTACATTCGCCGGGTGAACATGAAGATGTTGTACAAAACAAAAATACGCTATAAGAACCTACTGGTCCAGGACTACAACCGTTGCCCACACAACATTGACATTCACATCTACTAGCGAATGTTAGTTGTATAGTCAGAAGCAAAACAATGAGTATACCAAAGATACGTCTCATATCAAAACGTCGAGTAGAAACGAGTGATAAATGTAAGTAACAAAAGTCATCTATATATGCATTATTTTTTCTTAGCTTACTGCTTTTTTTCTCTTTTATCTTTTGTAATATGATTCTTTTTTAACATATTACCGATATTCAATCAAAACAATAAACATGTTTTTGTATGGTAATGAAGGTAACCATGATTAACTTTGTGTAGGCTTTAAATTTTCATGTGTCAATAAATAGAAAAGTAAAACGTAATAACTTTCGAAAGATCATATTTTCATTTTTGCTTTTTGACAAATATTCTTTCAAATCAAATACTTGAAAATGTATTTACAAAGGATATATTACATATACAGGTAACTATCCATGAGTCAAATAAAGAAACAATTAATTCTATCAAACACATGGCGAAATTTTATTAAAAAAATTTCACTTATATCCTCGTTAATCTTTAATTATACAGAGACGTTCGTCTGAGATTGATGCAATTTCAAAAAAAAAGTCAATGCATTTATTAGTAGAACAAGCACGAGTACCAATCCAATAAATATCACTAATCATAGAACAATAGATTTTATTCAGTTCTAGAATGTATGACCTTCTACATTATTTTTAAAAAAAACGGCCAGATAAATAATTTTATGCTTGAAGATAAAACTAGTACATAATCATTTCAAAAGAACTGCGTAAAACATTCCAGAAGTCTAATTATGAAAAGCACGCAAAAAACCCTATGTATGCTTATGAATATTATCACGTCGTATTTTACGGCATACGATTTCATATGAAACGAATATATACATAAAGAAAACATTTAAAGAATAAGACTAAATAAGATGGGAAATCATCAAACGTATCCCAAACGACAACATCGTCCAAGTGAATCTGTTGGTTTCAATAAACATGATAGTGATGATGAACGTTTAGTTACAATTCATCAGAGAGAAAGACGAGTAAGATTAATTTATTAAAAATTCAATTGAATTAATTTTTTGTTATATTATATAAGATTTCTACGAAAAGTGCACCACCACTTGAAGATCATAATGTAATAATTCATCCTATTGATCGTACACCTATTACTTTTTCAGTACCAGCTTTACCATTTGATTCACATGCATGTGTTACTGGCACTTTTAATGATTGGATCGAACATAAGATGGATAAATTGTATATTGATTTTTATTTTGATTTCTTTAGTTTTATTCATCTAAATTTCTAGAGATGGAAAATATGAAACATGTATTGAGGTACCACAAGGTTGTCATTATTATAAAATTTTAGTTAATGGACGATCAAGATTTATTTCGAGTGAAGTATGTTTTCTTTTTTGAATTTATTACAATTCAAAACGTATTTCGTAATTTTTAAGACAATAGAATATCATTCAAAATTTGGTCGTGTACATTTTCTTTATGTCTCTGTTAATGATCAAAATGTAAATAATCATTTGGAACGAACAATGTTATCTCTCAGTAAATTAAATATATGGACAAACGAAATAAATACTCAACTTGTACCAACTGATCAACCACCACCACCACGTATCCCACCTCATCTACTTAACGTTCTTCTCAATAGAAAACTACCTGCTCATGTTTGTTTCTTTTTCTTGATTATATAAGTAAAAATTAATTTCGATTTTTAGTGTGATCCGGATGTGTTACCAGAACCAAATAGTGTCATGCTTCGACATTTATATGCTCTATCAATTCAAGTAATTATTTCTTTCAATTAATATCAATATCTTTTCTTCTTCTTTAGAATGGTATTATGATATTAAGTACAACCATTCGATATAAACAAAAGTTTGTTACAACATGTTTTTATAAACCAAATTGAATTTTTTTTGTTACGAAAAATTTAATAATAGAAATTTCTATATATATATATTCTTTTTCCTTGTAAATTATTGTTAAAACTATGTGTATATTTCCTTTCAGTATACTTTCTAGTAGAAAATTCCTCTAATAAAAAAAATATTTCTTTCAATTATTTTGTTTTGACTAACATAGTTAAGATATATTTTTTTTTGTTATATACATACGCAATTATTTCTCTTTGATATTTTGAAAAATTATAAATAAAATTTATTCGATATTTTACAAAAAATGATAGCTTGGATTTTTATGGAAGGGGCGCGAATGCATCCGCGACCCCTAAGATCATCCAGTCGTTAGTTTTTTTGAAAAATAGACTGTATTTACATTTTAATGTAACCATGATGTGCAGCAACATCATGCCATATTCGATCAATACTGAAAATTATTTGAATTTTATAAAAAAAAAGAAAAATAATAATAATAATACCCACTTCATGTTATTGAAATATATATGTTTGCCATTTGCATTTTTGTTTTATAGGCTTTCATTATGAATGTGTAAATTAATAAAAAATATGTGATTGATTTGGAAAATAATTCATATGCATCTCGTGAACTTGAATTAAACTTTTATGTCATAGATTTTTTTACCAATTAAAACTTCACCGTACTTTTGACTCCTGAAAAAAATTTCCATCTGAGAATAAAATGTATTAGCATATTTTCTATCACATGATGCTTTTTGGGTACTCTCATAGAAAATGTATTATGCTTGAAATAGTTCGAAAGAAAGTACGATGGGGGCTTTATTTTATGAAATATAAAGAAATTGTTTAGATTCACTGTTGGCCTTTTCCCATTAATTACATAAAAAATCAATGTCATTCAATAAAATTCTTATTCAATGAAATTCAAAAGTCCGCAAAATCAAAAGGTTACATTATTAATATATGTTTCTACTGCACTGAAATGTATAAGTCTTCCTTTTCTTCTTATTTTTCATCTGTTAAAGAAACCTATGATTATTATTACTCAGGTGATGTTATATCGGCTAATTGAAAATAAGATAGATGTGTATATATACTGAAAAATATTCATTTGCATCGAAAAAGAAATCTGAAATACATTCATATTTAATAAAATAATGTCTCGAGTATATAAAAAACCAACAGTAATTCGAGTTTTGACAAAAGATTTACCTGTAAGCATTAAAGAAAATAATGTTGTTATTAATCTAATCTATTTATTTAAGCCTCCAAAATCTGCTCTCAATCGTCCAAAAACTTCACGACCTTCTTCACTTAATATAAAACCTCATAATCTTATTCGTCTACCTCGTAGAAGTCGTTCAAATCCTTACCCAAATCGTAATCAAGAACGAAATACTTTGATCGAAATTAACGTAAAAAAAAAAGAATTTTTTTTTTTCTTTGAAAATCTATTTTATATATTAAAATTTAGTTAGAAGATATTCGACCATTAGAAAAAGGAAGTGAAACTCCGTCATCCGTTTTTACTCGAGGCCGTGTCGAACCATCGGCAGAAACAGTATGTTCACTTGAAATAACAGTTATATAATATTGTATCGTACAAATTTAGGTTTATGTTAATGAAAAAGATGAAGCAAAAAAAAACAAGTATGATTTCTCATAAAATAATGAATTTAAAATAATTCATCGATTCTTTAGATCTCGAAAAAGATGTGCATTTACAAAAAATACATGCCTGTTTTGCATGGTAGCGGCTTTTGGTCTTATTGTTATAATAGCGTTAGCAGCAGCACTTGGTATTACTGGTACGTATATTAATAATTCATATAAATAATCATTGTTGTTTACAAAATGATCCTTTAGTTTCCAATAAAAATAATTCTCAAATAACTAGTAGTAAGTTTAAAGAAATTCTTTCCTTTTTGAGTAGGACTAGTTTTATTTTAAATTTTATTATAGCAATGACAACAGCAACAACAACAACAGCAACTACAACCACATCAACTACATCAACAACTACAACAAGTACAACAACAACAACTACTAGTACATCGACAACATCAACAACAACTACAACAACGACAGCAACAACGACTACTACAACAACAGCAACAACAGCTACAACAACAACAGCAACAACAACAACAAAAACAACGAAAACAACAGCAACAACAACTACAGCAACAACAACCACAGCTACTACAACGACAAGTACAACTACATCGGAAACTTCTGATACTATAGAAACTGATACTATTTCTGATTCTGTAATACTATCAACTATCAAAAGTAGTTCAACTGTCGCCGCAACGTCAGAAGCCAATGCTATATCTGATTCTAATCTTAAACTCAAAACTATAACTCAATCAGATTGGACAATTTCAATGTAAATAGTAAGTATGTATAACAGATATCACGATATATATAGATAATCAAATGAAGTATAATTTCATCTAAAATCTTTACAGTATGCAGATTCTCTTTCATTACCTATTTTAACGTTTATTATAGACTTTTAATAATTTGAAATCATATCAATTTTACTTATATTTAGAACATAATAACGCCATCAATTCGTAACAAAATCGACATATACATAAATGTATATAATTTAACAATGTACTTGATGATAATATTCCAGAAAATTCTTCTATGTATCATTGTATTTAATTTATTTTTTTAACTTAATAAATAATAATCTGCGTATTTATAAAGATCATTATATTTACTTGTCGATTAGTTTGCTGCTTTTGTTTATTTTGTTCATTAGTATTGAGAATATCAGAACTCTACATACAAATAGTTAAAGCTATCTTAATTGTGTTACGTATCGACATGTCAAACTCATTAATCTATCGAAAATAAAGTTTAACAACAATAATTATTCTGTATTCATTTATTAAAACATATAAACAATTAAAAAAAATCATTTTCTACAATATTTCATTAAAAAAACATTAAATTTGTTTGTACATTCTTTTATTTTTCACGTGATCTATACTAATTATGAACTGGAAGTAGTCGATACTATATTTACAAATTACTCAGAAGCTACCGCAGGATGTTCTGATACAAATCCATCATTCCGTGTATTTTCCTGTACGGTTTCCATGTCTATATGGTGCGCTCCAGTTTCCTCATGAACTGGATGTTCGTGTGCAGTCTGTGTTTCTATATGTTCCGATTGAAATTCACCAGGCATTTGCATTTTAGTTATTATTGCATGCAACTGTTCAATTTCATTTTTACCTTCGAATTCTTTTTGCATCAGTCTTTTAATATTTTTTAATTGTTCATCATCATCAGTGGTTAAAACTAATTGTATTTCCCATAGACCATTTTCTATTTGATGAATATTATGAATTCGAAATATAGTATTTATTGTGAATAGTATTTCTTTTGTTGATTCTGAATAATAATCTATTTTATCTAATGGAGTAAATATTGCTTGTGATTGATCAATATTTATTTGAAATATAACTCCGACTAATCCATGATTATCACGAGCAGAACAAACATAAACTAATGATACATTTTTATCAGTAGTTGTTATCAAAAAATTATTACATGAAATAAAACCATTTGAATTGTCTAGAATTTTTTGAAATTCTTCTTCAGTTATTCCTTGTCCTCGATAACTAGTTAAATGATTTTGTTTATTCAATTTTGAATGTAATCTTTTGATTTCTTGATGAAGATCTTGAATAAAAAATTTCATTTTTATTAAAATATCTATATCATGTATACGAAATGCTTTATTTAACATGGAAGAAATAAAACATTCTCTTGTGTACCACCAAATAGCTGACGATTGTTTATAGTCATTCTTAAATTCTCTAATAATATCTAATTGATAAGGATTATGTTGATATCGTGAATGACAAAAATCTATAAAATCTAATTTACTATTAGGTTCACATTCCATATGTATAAGAATATCTTTAAGTATTTGTATATAAATAAATAATTGATCAGATTGATTTATATTATATGTTGATGATAACATATTAAATGAAACTAAATCATCTTGACATTGTCGAATATCTCGTCTAAATACATCATAAATTGCTTGAGTCTTTGTAAAAACTCCTTGAATTTTTTTTTCTTTATTTGCCCATTTTTCATGTTTAGCTTTATTATCACAATATATATAAATTGAATTAATTTGAGAGAAATTCTGTAGAAGTGATATCATTTTTTCTCCTAAACTACCAGATATAATTAAAAAAATTTTTTCATTTTTTATATCACTTATAAAATCCATACATGATTCTGGATCGGTAAATGGCACAATTAAATCAATTAACTGTTGTACTTGGGTAAAAAGTGATTGATAATCATCACTTCGGTGATTAATATTAGCATCTAGCCATACACCGATGAAATTTTCAACTGTCAAAAATTCACGATGCGATGATTGGATATTTTTTTCATTTACTCTTGCCATTTCGGAGAAAAAATATTAAAACGACTACGATATAGTTCTTCCACGTCTTCTGTTCTACCTTTACGAGTACCTCAGGTGTCAATAATGCAAATCTTTACCTAAAGGTTGGCAGACAACCAATTAAAATTTAATTATTTCTGAAGGATAGAATATATATTAAAGAAAATAATAGTTAAATAAACATATAGTTTCATATAAAATACTTTAATGTATTTACTATTTGTAGTAAAGTGACAACTATAGAAAAAGACGACACAAGTATTTCTTTATTGCTCTCGATCTATTGTCCAATCAGATTGTTTTGCCACTCGACGTTACACAAATAAATTATCATCAATTTTGTACTCTCAATCCTTGGTGAACATTGATTTCGATCATCATAATATATAACAAAAAAAATGTTAGATTCGGATGATTTCTCTAAAACATCAAAAAGTCGTCCACTTGCTGATGTTTTACATATATTAATATTACTTATAATTATAAAACTATTAAAAACAGTTGGCTTATTTATAACCTATGATTTACTTAAATCTTATCATCTTGTTTTTATTTTATTTCTTGCTACATTATTTACTTCTATTTGTTTATTATTTATTCAAAAACCATTTTCAACATTTCGACCAAATAAAACTTTATTTTATCGTTTAATTAAATATACAATATGTTTAACAATAATTCGTTTACTTTGGCTATTTGGTTTAACATTATGTGGTCCATTACGAACAATATTATTATTTGAACATAGTGATATTGTTATTCTTGCATGTTTTCAAGTTGTATTCTCATCATCATTCATTAATCAACAAGGACAAACATCACGAATTCGTGGTGTCGTATTTTTTGCATTAGCTGTTCTAGCCATATTTGCATTTGATAATGATGATTCAAGACAATCAGTTGATCATCCTGAAGGTCATTCATCACATCATCGTTTCTTTGCACATATATTTTATCGTTTAACATCATTCATTGGTGTCGCTGATCATACAGGTGGAGTTATATTATTACTTCTTGCATTATTTGCACGTTGTACAATGAATTCATGGAGTAAAAAATTAGTATTAGATATAGGTGGACCGAAAAAATTTTATGCTATAACAACATGTTTATCAACAGTATGTCTTATACCAATGTCATTTATAATGTTATTAATTAATAATCTTTTTGTAAGAAAAATAAAAAAAAAATTTTCTTAAAAAAAAATTATTTTTTATTTTAGTTGGATTCAGTTGATTCAATACGTTCAACAATTGAACCAACATTATCACCATCGACAACAACATCAATCTTTGATAATATGACATCATTAATCATTCCAATTATTCTTATTAGTGTATTTATATTTGTTTCGGATTTTTATGTCGAACAAATAGCAATTGTTAAACTTGATCGTATACGAGCATATCGTTATGGAACATTAACAATGATATTTGCTGGTCTTATTGCTTCACTTGTTTGGGTTAAAACAGCAGCAGTAGCAAATAGTAATGCATGGTTTGGACGAACAATTAATGTTGAAGAACATGAATTATCCGGTGGTGTTGTTTTTGCTGTTGTTATGTTTGCATTTGCAACTGATCTTCTATTAAGTCCACTTAAACAACGATCAGGTGCATTTATTGGTTATAGTCAAGAAGGTGTACCATTATTTAATTTAACTCATCAAAAATCACAATCATTATTATTAATATTAAAATCAAGTTTAAGAGATGTTCTTGCAGAATATGATTCAAGACAGATTTTCTATTTTCTTTGTATTAATTTAGTAAGTAGGAAATGATTGAAAGGAAAATGAATTGTTTTTTTTTGTCTTTTATAGTCATTTACATTTGTGGAACTTCTTTATGGAGCTTGGACAAA